TCGTTCCCGCTACAAGAAACGAATTCGTTTGAGTGCCCAATAACACGATTCGTGATTGGGTATCAATTAATACAGTCGGTAGTCCCACCAGAAGACACATGGTGCGTATCCCTCGGATTTTTTTCTTAAGGATATAGTGTCTTGCAGCTTCTTGAATCAAAAGTTTCATGGTAATCCCAAGCATTGTGAAACCCATGATCACAACTTTTCCTTGATTCAACACGCCATACCACGACACAACGTGCACAAACCCGCCACAAATTGCTATATGGACAGCGTGCGGTAATTGGATAATAAATTCACGCCAGAAGCTTGTAGAGCGATAATTTGGCGCTCGATGGGTACGAGAAGTAGCTGAAACTTTACCGATACGTCCAGAAATTACACGTAATGCACCCCGTCGACCGTGGCCTTGGCTAGTCTCTTTACTGTAGATTGTCCTTGCTGCTATAGCGATACCAGCTGTGAAGACGAGATTAAACACATTGCCGATATAAAAGTGAAGTTTGTACTGGAAAAGAGCGTTCATCAATGACGTGTTCTGGACGAGCAGACCAGTGCCAATCATGCCACTTAATGATACGAGAAAGTACGGGAATGTACCCTTGATGAGCTTTTTCAAGCAAAAATACAGACTGGGTTTGTAGTCTGGAAGCTCACGAAAGCGCTGGGTCATCATCGAGGGTAAATAAGCTGCCGTCATCTTGATAGCGTGTACTATTGCAGTCCAAACCAACGTGGCCATGAGAAATTCCTGTCGAGATTGCTGTGCGGAAGACTTGGACGAGAAAATATTCCCCGAGTAGAAACATCCATTCGCCAATACTGCGGCAATGACACAACCGATTGTGTTGCGAAACATGAGTAATTGGAGTCTGGCTGCTGGCCTCCATTGTAGTTGGAAACGTAGTTGACTGCTGTAGTTGTGAAGCTGATTGTTATCGGGTCGAGGGAGCAACGCAATCGCCGATTTAGAGACGACTCCGTCTCTCACGGGTTGGTCTGGAGCGACAGAAGAGAAGGACGGACGAGTTGGAGCGACGCGAGAACTTCTGAGAGTTCGTGCCTGCGACTCCATGTCGGGTTAGATAAGTGTAACTTGCGTCCACATTGGTCATTTTTAGAAATCTAAAACTTGTTATGGTTTTCATCGATTTTGCCGTTTTATATCGGAGTTTGCTTCAACGTTCATTGTGAAGTTTTCATTTTGTTTTTTTACCGAGCTGGATACTCGATTTATAATATAATGATGTCGTATAATACTTCGAAATATATCGTTATGATAAAGGGGACACAACAAGCTAGGTTAATATTAATTGCGCTATAACAAGCCAAATCGACTGATCGTGCTCTTTCCCAACAAATCCATATCAACCTCCAGTAAAAAATTGCGCAGTTTTAAAACGCAAATCGAGGACAGATATCAGACCGCGAGTCGCCTTTAAAGATAATATCGATTTTCGTACCTAATCGAACTTCAAATAAACCTATATACGTACCAAGCTGCCCCCCCTCCCTCCTTTCGATTGCTATTATTAAAAGACATTTCCGACAATATTTTAATCGAAAAATCTGAGTTCAAGTCCTTCACTGAACTGATACTGAAAATAACTTTTAACATCTCTATTAGCCCAAACTAATCACGAGACATCATGTGCTTAGATAGCTTCTGTATTTGGCTCTTAAGTTCTTTTCGTTTTACTCATACGGTAAATCCAGGTCCGCCGTTCCCAATCTCATTTTCGCCTGGTTAAACGCGTCAACCATGCCACAAAGTGGAATGAGATTTCGTCTAACAAAAACAATAAATGTAATGAACGCTAGTGTTTTTTTGGGGCTGTGTTCTATGCAGCACTAAAAATGGGAACGCTGCACATTAATTTATTTCGTTTTCAAGTAGATAGTGCGTTCTAGGGAAATTA